TCAGTTGTTTTTGATAACTGAATAAGGTGAACCTGTTCCATGTATTATGGGAAGTCTGTCACTTTTTCAAAAATCTTTAAGAATTTCCAGAGACTATTGAAGGACTTATGATCCCCTTGATCAATATATTCAGCCACAACTGTTTCTCTGTTCTCTTGTTATTGATCATTCTATGATATTATCATTATATGATATTTATTCATTCATCCATTATTTATTTACTATTATTACTAAGCATCCATTTATTGAATGCTTACCACATTCTAAACGCTCCACATATACCCACTAACCATTGTTGTGGCTCCTAGGGCTGCTGCCTCTGACTGCTCCTGCGTCACCCTTGACTTGGGACGATCTCTTCTCTTTTATTGCCCCTGTCAAGCATCACTAATACAAGGCTGTTTTGTGTCAGACTTTTACTGAAGTTTTGACAATACTAGTGGTGGATGAGCATTGTGGGGAAGGAATACAGATGGAGCATATTGATATGGTTTGGCTGTGTTCCCACCCAAATCTCATTTTAAATTGTAGCTCCCATAATTCCCACGTGTTATGGGAGGGGAGAGTCAGTGGAAGATAACTGAATCATGGGGGTGGTTTTCCCTGTAATTTTCTCATGGTAGTGAGTAAGTGTCATGAGATCCTACGGTTTTATAAGGGGAAATCCCTTTTGCTTGGCTCTTTTCTCTCTTGCCTGCTGCCATATAAGATGTGCTTTTTGCCTTCTACCATGATTGTGACTCCTCCCCAGCCATGTGGAGCTGTGAGTCCATTAAACCTCTTTTTCTTTATAAATTACCCAGTCTTGGGTATGTCTTTATCAGCAGCATGAAAACAGACTAATACGTATATAGTGTATATGTGCATAAAACAAGACGCAATGAAAAATTAAGTATTAGACATCTTAACATTCATGGGCATCTCCTGTGGAGAATTTCTCACTTTATCCTTCATCCTTAGGTCCCACCTGCTACCATCTTTTGGAGTTGCCTCTTCCTGTCTCAATATTTCTTGTGTATCATCTCCTCAGCCTCTCTAATTTCTATACCCTTTAACTCTTTTTTCCTAGCCATAGCCTCTGGAAACTCAAACCTCCTAATTTTTTTTTTTTTTTTTTTTTGAGACAGAGTTCCACTCTGTCGCCTAGGCTGGGATGCAATGGCACAATCTCGGCTCACTGCAGTCTCCGCTTCCTGGGGTCAAGCGATTCTCCTGCCTCAGCCCCGTGAGTAGGTGGGACTACGGGCACCCGCCACCACGCCCGGCTAATTTTTTGTATTTTTAGTAGAGATGGGGTTTCACTGTGTTAGCCAGGATGATCTCAATCTCCTGACCTTGTGATCCACCTGCCTCGGCCTCCCAAAGTGCTGGGATTACAGGCGTGAGCCACTGCGCCCAGCCCCTAATTAATTTTTGTATAATGTAGAGCACTTTATCTATCTCTTTCTTTTCCTTCCTCATACAAATCACACTGGTGGTGGGGGACGAATTTGCCTAACCAAAAAAGTCATTGAGCTGTTGTACCCCATGCCCCCCAAAAAGAGCACTTCCCAGCCCCAGAAAGGAATTCCTCTGATTTCCAGAGCAATAAGTTTTGGAATACTTAAGTTCTTCCTCACCCCAGCTGGATTTTGATGAGATACCAAGTCAGTCTCTCCCAAATTAATAAAGCAAATAGAAGATAATTCTGACTATAATCCTAGTGTACCTTTTCTGGATTTTAATAAAGTGATCTTAAAGTTAATTTTGGAGTGAGGTAGAAAAACAAGCTCAAGTAACAAAAAAATATTTTTTAAAAGAGTAGTAATGGAGAACTCAATGTACCAGTGGTTTGAACACTTATTGTTCTAGTTGAAGAATGAGCAAACAGAAAAATGTAAAACTTAATACAAAGTCCAGAAACAGATTGTTGATGAAAAAACCAAACTCCATAAAATATTTGAAGAGATTTCTTCTGAGCCAAATGTGAGGACCATGACCTGCAACAGCCTCTGGAGGTCTTGAGAACAGGTGCCCAAGGTGGTTGGGTTACAATCTGGTTTTATAAGTTTTATAAGACATCCAGTACATTGAGGTATACATTGTTTCGGTCTAGAAAGGTGGGACAACTCAAAGCAAGGGCTTAAAGATCATAGGTGGATTCAAAGATTTTCTGGTTGGCAGTTGGCTGAAGGAGTTATTAATATTATTTGAAGACCTGGAATCAATAGAAAGGAGGGTCTGGGTTAAGCTAATGGGTAGTAGAAACCAAGGTTCTCATTATGCACATAAAATGACTGCCCTTAGAAGTAATATATGGCTAATGTTTTCTATTCAGACATTTAAAAGGTGCTAGACTCTCAGCTAATCTCTCCAGGATCAGAAAAAGACCTGGAAAGGCAAGGGGATTCTCTACAGTGTGTAAATTTTCCTCCACAAGAGATAGCTTTGCAGGACCATTTAAAATATGTCAAAGAAATATGTTTTTGGATAAAATACTTTGATATTTTTCAGGGCCTGCTATCTGTCTTGTGATGCTAAAGTAGAGTCAGGTTGGATTTTGGTATCTTGTTACTACAAACAATCTGTTCAGTGAGTTCTAAGATCACTGTTTTAATGTTAATGCTGGTCAGTTTTGCCTCAAATCCAAAGGGAAGAAAGTATGATGAGGCATGTCTGACCCCCACTTCCCATCATGGCCTGAGCTAGTTTTTCAGGTTTCTTTGGAATTCCCTTGACTGAGAGGAGGGAGCCATTCAGTCAGTTGGGGTGCTTAGAATTTTATTTTTGGTTGATAATATCTAAGAATACAAAAGCATTTAGAATGTAATAAATGAAATAAAAATTACTGGAAGTGTGTTAGTTTGTTTTCACGCTACTAATAAAGACATACCCGAGACTGGGCAATTTAGAAAAGAAAGAGGTTTAATGGACTTACAGTTCCACATGGCTGGGGAGGCCTCACAATCATGGTGGGAGTCAAGGGAGGAGCAAGTCACATCTTACGTGGATGGCGGCAGGCAGAGAGAGAGAGCTTGTACAGGGAATCTCCCATTTTTAAAACCAACAGATCTTGTGAGACTTATTCACCATCATGAGAACAGCATGGGAATGACCCACCCCTATGATTCAATTACCTGCCGCCAGGTCACTCCCACAATACATGAGAATTCAAGATGAGGTTTGGGTAGGGACATGGCCAAACCATATCAGGAAGAAAATATGGGCAAGTATTTATATAATCTTGGACTAAGGAAGGCCTTTCTAACCATGGTAGAATGTCTGTGAGGTAGGTAGAATTCTTATTAAAAAAACACTTGAAAACCTAGAATGTTATATAACATTGATGAGCCTTAAAAACATTATGCTGAGGCCAGGCGCAGTGGCTCACGCCTGTAATCCCAGCACTTTGGGAGGCTGAGACGGGCAGATCATGAGGTCAGGAGATCAAGACCATCCTGGCCAACATGGTGAAACCCTGTCTCTACTAAAAATATAAAAATTAGCTGGGTGTGGTGGCGCGTGCCTGTAATCCCAGTTACTCAGGAGGCTGAGGCATGAGAATCGCTTGAACCCAGGAGGTGGAGGTTTCAGTGAGCTGAGATCACACCACTGCACTCCAGCCTGGCAACAGAGTGAGACTCCATCTCAAAAAACACCATAAAATAAAATAAAAACATTATGCTGAGTGGAAGAGCCAGACACATATGATTCTGTTTATATAAAATGTCCAGAATGGCCAAATCCATAGAGACAATAGATTAGTGGTTGCCAAAAGAGGGGAAAATGGGGAGTGACTTACAGCAAACATGGTGATTTCATTTCTGAGGGATGAAAACATTCCGGAATTAGGTAGTGGTGATGGTTGGACAACTTTTGAATATATTCCCAATCACTGAATTGTATACCTTAAAGGCTGAATTTTATATATGAGTTATATCTCAATTTAAAAATTTAAAGATAGGTAGTTCTACTTGGGATGTCATGAGAAAACAAAAAACCTGGCATGGTAGTAGAGAATTGTTAAATAATATACATTTTGAAAATTTTATATACAAATGGCCAATAAACATAAAAAGCAAATTAAAACATTGAGACCAAATATTTGCCTACTGGCAGAGATGAAATTGTTAATTTCTTTCTTGGGTAGAGTGTAGTCTAATGGTTGTTCTAATATGCTGGTATTGATGAGGAGGAATTTGGTAATATATTTATTTCAAAAAGCCTTACTTTATGTCCTTCCATAATGCGTTTCAATTTCTAGGAATTTATCTTAAAGAAACACAGTTTGCCATGTAAAATAAAATTGTAAAGTAATAGTAACAACACAAAGATATTTCTGCTGCTAGGGAGAAAAATTAAATTAAAAATTAAATATAAAATTAAACAGACCAATAGAAGTGCACATTCAAAAGGCTAAAGAGATACACTCTAAAATGTGGGTGCTAATCACCTCTTATTCGTGGGATTATGGATAATATATATTTTCTTGCTTATTTTTATCTGTATTTTCTATTTACTTTTTCTAAATAGTCCATACCAGAAGTATCCTTGAAATCAGAAAATAATAGAAAAATTATTTAAAATAATACAGTTTCAAGTGTGGCAAAGCTTTCTAGCTTGTTTTTTGTTTGTTTTATTTGGGTGTTTGCTTGTTTTGTGAGCGCCTTAGCAGAAATGAGATGAGAAAAGAAATTTTTTGTTTCTCGTGTGATTATAGAGATTCATGAGAGATTCATGAAAAAAAGTCTTCATTTCTGAACCCAGATTCTCACTAGCTGCCCCTATGAGCTTTCTTCAGTGGGGTGTATAGTTTCAGGGTTCGACCAGTTGATTAGTTGGTAATTTTATAACATACACCATTGTTAATTAAACTGTTTGTGGTGTATTTATCCCAAGATTTTTTCTCTTCGAAATTGGGTAAGTTAGGATTTACAACCAAGATCCTATTGAGTGGAGTTCTTTCTGATTTTTAAATTATGTTCCTCAGATGTAACAATTTTCTTCTCCCCATTTCCTAGACAGAATCATGAATAAACTGGAGGATAAGCAGGACCAGATGATACCATGAAGAGAAGTTTACAGGCCCTCTATTGCCAGCTGTTAAGTAAGTTGACACTGCATTTCTTCTTTCTTAAAATATACCAATGTCATTATTTGCTGGATGCCCAGAACTTACTTTTTGGATGAAGACCAGGGTTGGATCAGTGAAAGAGGACAGTAAAGTTTCACTCTGCTTCATCCAGATGAAGTATCAAGCATTAATTCATTCTAAGATCTCTGTTTTAATGTTAATGCTTGTCAGTTTTTCCTGAATTCCAAAGGGAAGTTTTAATATCCATTATAGTTGTAACTTGGACATCAGTTATAACTTAAACTCCATTATAATAATTCTAAATTGATGTGTTAAGCATAGTTAATCTGGGAATGAGTGTCCAAAAACATTATTGCCTTTGGTTTAGTGTTCTTCCAGGATGACCTGCTGTAGATTCCTCATGAAGAGAAAATGGTGCGTTGTGTTTTCTGTTTTTTGATACATAGAACTTGTTGCTATACAGCCTTTGGCTTAAAGTGTTATGCATAGTTATACACGGTTCTCAAATAAGAAGTGAAAATATGACTTCTTGGTTTTACGGTGGAATAAAGAGTGTTCAATTATGACTTTATGCACATCACTCATGTGTTTTGTGTATACTGCCACAAAGCACCAATTGCCATGTAGGGATTGTACTTTCTTTGGGATTAGAATTGCTACTGAATGAATGTAAAAGCCAAAACCAATTGGTGGGTTTGATGTTCCAGTTAACCCACTTAAGACAATAGGCATTACCCACTCCAGGTCTAACCAAAGCCAGTGAGTTGGAAAATTGTGAGTTAGTTGTTTATCTTGTTCTTGCTAAGGTAAATGAAGTACCTATCTTTCCTAGGCTAAGTGGCTCCTTGTTAACTTTTGTTGAAAGAATAAAAGGAAAAGATATTGAGATGCAAATCACCAGTCAGTCAGCCCTTAGAATTTAGTAATTCAGCTTATGTTGTACCCCCAGTGCAAAGCACTTTATCTACAGACAGCATTCTGGCCGGGTGTTTTAATTGACTCATTTCTTCTGCTGAATTCTAATCCCTAAAACACATATCACGTCAGCCTGTTTCAGCCCGGTGGAGAGTTGCCAACAGTTATAGGAACTTTCTCATGTTCCTTTTCCATGTGTTCTATGGGACTGTCAGTTTGTTGCTTTTTTAAAAAATGATAAGCTTGTTTGCTAAAGAATAGGCTTTAAAGATTGAAGAAGCAATGTCATGAAGGAATGATTAACTCTGCCTTGATGAGAGAGTAGACATATGAAGGATAAATAGGATTTTACAAACACACATGCACACTTACCCCTCAGAGAAGGGGAGGAAGGCTTTGTAGCCAGAAAAACGGGAAATAAAGAACAACAGAGTAGATTTTGGAACAGCAAAATGTTTGCTGAGTTCACCCATGCCAACTCTATGCCCCAAAGTTTGCGTAATATTTTAGGGTCGTATGTTATTTGAAAGTCATCAGTAAATTACCCTGCAGTCCAGAGAGATAAGACTTATCCTATGATGAGGTCCATCCTCCTATACTGAGCAACTCTGAATGCTGAAGGGGGTTCAAACATCATCTGGCTAACTACAGAAAACAACTGTGTCTTAACACCTTGCTGTTTGCAAAGCTTGCTGGGAAATGCAGACAGTCCAGAATATGTAGTTTCCTGCTGGTTAGGAGGTAGACAGTGGCCCTCACTAAACCACCCTGATTACTGACATGCATATACACACAATAGATCCTATATGTCACTGGTCAGCCAGTTATTAAGTTATGTGTATGTTAACATTGTCCACAAATAAAATGTTTTTAAGACATTTAGTCTGTGTCTAAAATAGACTTGAGAACTAGCATCAACACACAATATGTTATTTTATATAACTCATATATTTTATATAACTCATGATAAAAATATATGAAAATATATTTTTAATTTGGATTAAAAAATCATGATTGAGTATTCTGGTTTTTCATTGTTACATAACAAACTAGTCTAAAACCTTGTGGCTTAAAGCAATAACAGTTATTTATTTCGCTCTTAAGTCTGTAATTTGAGCAGGACTTAGCAGAACCTATGCCTCCACTGCAGAGTGTTTGGGACCTAGGCTGGAATGACTCCAACGGCCGAGGGCTCCCTGAGGCCTTCTCACATGGACAGTTTGGGCTCCCTCACAACATGGTGGCTTCAGAGTCATCAGATTTCTTATATGGCAGCTACCAGTATGAGACTTGGGCAAGGCTTAGAAGACTTATTATGAATTAGCCTTGGAAGTCCCAGAATAATACTCATGCCACATTGTACTATCTGAGGAAGTAAGACCAACAGTAACTCAGGGGAAGAGGAATTAGGCTTCACTTTTCAAAGAAAAGAGGAGTAACAGTTCGTAGCAGTTATCTTTAGTCTATTACAGAGAATATCTATTTGTTTAAAAAAACAAAAACACTTACTAGTGGACATTAGCCAATTCATAAGTCATTAATATAGAAGCTATACCCTACTGAGTGCCTACTGTGTTCACAAGGATTTGCTGACAGTTTACCTAAATCTCCTCAATTATTCCAGAGGAAAATGCTTCAAGATGAAGAAGCGTTACAGATGGATAAGCAAGGACTGGCCCAGGGTGCCCAGTGAGTTCAGTTCACAGCCATATCTCTCTGACCCCTGCATATGTGCCCTTTTCTTTCTGCCCTGATGCCCTACCACACACAGGAAAAACCAGCAGTGTGGTCCCTCTGCTGCCCTTATAGCTAAGATAGGGACAGTTCAAGCCCATAAGCAGTGAAGTTTGCATCTTGCGAGTGATATTAGATGAGTGCTGGGGTTTGGATATTTGATCCCTCCAAGTCTAATGTTGAAATTTTATCCCGTTTTGGAGGTGGGGATAAATGAGAGGTGTTTGGGTCATGGAGGTGGATCTCTCATTAATAGATTAGTGCCCTCTCCAGGAGAAGGGAAGTGAGCAAGTTCTAGCTCTTTTGTTACCTTGAGAGATGCCCCAAGAACTGGTTGTTTAAAAGAATCTGGCACCTCCCTCTACCTTGCATCCACTCTCTCACCATGTGATCTCTGCACATGCTGGCTCCCCTTTACCTTCCACCACCAGTGGAAGCAGCTTAAGGCCCTCATGAGATGCAGATACTGGTGCCGTGCTTCTTGTTTAGCCTGCAGAACCGTGAGCCAAATCAACCTCTTTTCTTTATGAATTACAGAGCCTCAGGTATTTCTTTATAGCAACACTAAACAGACTAAGACAGTAAGACCAAAATAAAAAGATGCTCTTTAGATCACTGAATCATAATTGATAGTCATTGAGGCTTGCATGTGCCCAGTTGGGGCTAAGGAATGCAGTCTTTGGCAGGCAATGCTATTGAGGTTTTAATGGTTTACTTTTGTTACAACTGACTATCTCTGCCTTTGTTTTTATTACCTGAGCTCTACTCCACAATGCAGTACTGAGTGTTTCATCCCACTGACTTTAGCCCTTTCAGAAGGTTTAACACATTTTATATGATATATTGGAACAGCGGAAAGCTTGAGTATGAGGGTGGTGATAAAAGTCTTTATGGTTATAAAAAACCAGATACTCTCATTCATTTTTCTTTCCAAGACCTAAGTAATCAATTAGGTGTTAAAGCTCATGCTAAGAATACCTGGGTTTTTGAGACAGCAGACAGGTTCAAATCCTAGTTTTACCACTTTCTAGGTGACTTACCTTAGGTAAGTTACTTAAGCCTCAGTGAGATCTAGATGTAAAATGGGATGTGATCACTCACTACCTGAGATGGTATTGAGTGAGATGACATACCATATAGAAGTCCTACATAAATGCCAGCTTTCTTACTGCCTTCCTGCCTGGAAAACATAAGGATAACCTAACCAGGAGCTCTACTGTAACTAACATTTGTGTGGAACCTTCTGGTTCGCAAAGCATTTTCCCATAATTTGGTCCTCACAACAACCTTATAAGGCAAGTGGGGCATTATTATTGACCATATTCTACAGAGAAAGGAATTGACATGATCAAGGCTGCTTTTGCCAAGCGACATCACAATTTTTTGAAAAAGTTTTTAATAATGGAAGGTAAAGAGCGTCATCACAACCCCTTAAGACTATGCCACTGCTGAGGAGGGTCTGAATCTGAGTCTTGATTTAGCAGATGTGTGTTTGCTTGGGTACTGTGTACTGGAAAATTGTTGTGCTACTTTGTTAAGAAGACTAAGGCAATTATTATTTTATGACAATATGATGTTTTTACATATAAATGTCTATTCAAATCAGAGTGGTTTAAATATGTAAAATTAAGCAGTGATTATGTTTTGTAACTTCAGTGTTTGCTATACATCCAGACATTTGAATTTCTTAAATCATGCTCTGTATTGTTACTCTAGTACACCCTGCTCGCTCGTTCATGCACCCTTTGCATCTACTGGTCTGTGTCAAATCACTCAAAGTAATTTTTGTTCAACTTAGAGAACTGTCTGTAGGTCCCTATCTTAGGAAAAGGAGGGGAAAAAGGAAAAAAAAAGAACTGCTGGTGTGGATTTGGACCCTTACCCTATAGAATTTGAAGGAAAATATACCCCCTTTTCTGCCATCTTTACCTGGGGCATGGAGATCATGTCTCAGTCTCAGATTTGAATTATATATATGTATACACACAACCACACACACAAATCCATATTTCCTGTCTGTGGATTTTTCTGGGCCTAATGAGAAGCTACTTGGTAGTTCATTTCCACTTGAAACCTATTTTCTGATGGGATGATCTTCTTCTCATGTGATCTCTGGAACTGAGCAGAACCCTTGAAAACACTTTAAAGTGAGAGAACTCTCTTTGGTGCCTTTTCAGCTCTAACCATTCCTTCTTGCCTACCAGCTACCCAGTGACTATTCTTTCTTCCAGTTACTTCTTAAACTAGAAGTATCCACATAATTATATCTTCTTCAAGAGATTGACATTTCCCTCTCTTTTTCTTCTTCCATGCTTATTTTTGTCCCATATTAGACACAAAGCGCCCAACATGCTACCTTCTCA